CTTTCCCTTTCTGGTTGCTTCTTCAAACGTTGTTGTTTGTTTTGCAAGTTTTTTGCAGATTGCACCTTGACCCAAATGGCTGGAATGATGTGTGCTGATGTTGTGTTAGGAACTCGATGTTTCAGAAACGGTTTTATGAATGGTCTCGAGAAAGTGATGAGCGAATACGGCACGCTGGTGTTCTGGCGCTATCGGCTATTGTGCTGGCGTATCCGTATAGTGTACCATCATTCCTGCCTGAAGTGTTGATGCAGCTATGTCCACATACGTCCGACAAGCAGCCCATGCAAGTATGTTTTATTGCCAGAAATGTGTGAAAGAAAACACTCTACGCATCTCCGTACTTCAAGCGAGACAGAAAATAACCACTGGAGCGTTTTAGGAGAATGCGCAATGAGGGCGTCGTGCGGTGGCTGCAGGCAGGTGCACGCACCTTTAGGTCAAGGCGACCTGTTCTCTGGGCTGGCCGCCTCTTGTAAACTTCTGACAGTTTTGGTGGCACTGCATTGTCCACTGTTACTGCATATTCTTTGCACAGTCTCTGACTGTAGGGGTGGCTGTAGTGTAATTTTGCTTTATTATATGTAACTTTAAAGATGAAATTTTTACAGGGTACCGCGAAGAAGGCGCTGAGTGAGTTTAAGCGCACACATCAGGATAGCTGGCACGAGCATAAAATGCAGTTTAGCGAAGATCAGCTTTCCATTCTCACAGATTTGTTGGTCTCACCAAATTATTACGTTTGACTGCTACAGGCGGCTCACTTGTGCTGTGCAAGTTTTGTACGAGCTGAGCTCGAATTTTTTGGTGCTGGTTTTTTTTTTCGCTTTTGTTGTGCTGCAAAATCAAGTAGTAGTTGATGTCCAGCAGATGCTATTGCCATCAAACACAGTTGTAGTAGCACGAATCCGCTGCCAAATTTTCATGTGTGGTTTGTTTTCGTTGCAGCTGAAATCAGTGTTTAAAACGCAGTCCTGTTTGCCAAATAAATCCCATCGTTCTATCTGGCCTTGTTGATTATCCGTTCTTTCAAAGCCTTCTTGATTCTCGTATGCCTCTGAAGCACAGTTGAGGAGAGGGCCAGGTACGCGCAGCAATTTGAAAACAAGCAAATCAGCACTCGCTTAGTTTGCCACTCATTCCCAGCTGCATAGATCTGAGTCGCTGACATATGGCTGCACAAGCCTCGGCGGAGAAAGATGACTTTGTGATGCATATGATTCATTTATCTGCTTCGGATTTACCTCTTATTGTTGCTAGAAGACATTGTAGTAAACTGGAACGTAGAGTGTTTGTCTTTAGTTTCTTCCGCTTGGCATAACAGTTGTGGCACTATTCGACAGTTTC